GATAACGGACTGCACCAGCTTTCTTCTCTCACGTCGTTGGAAGCGAAGATGAACGAGATCGCGGAGCTATCTGTGCCGGGTCTCGCAGGGACATGCATGTTTGAGGGCCTGGAGGTGTTGAATCTCAAAGGGAACAAGCTTCTCTCTCTCCCGCAGGAAGTCTTGCACCTGCATCGCCTCAAAGAACTAGACCTCTCTTACAACCTCATCTGTGAGGCGAAAGATTTCCTCAGCCTGGGGGGCATGCAGCTGGACAAGGTGCTGCTGCAGGGAAACCCGTTGTTCAAGGACAACGCTGAGCTGAGAGCGTTCGAAGATGATCATCAAGGTCTCGTCTCCTTCATTCGGTCGCAAGTTGAGATGCACATGGAGAGACGGTCCTTGACAGATCTCCCTGCCCTCGTCTTGAAGAGCAGAGAGCTGCGACACCTCTTCTTGTCTCACAACCTGCTGCTCAAGTTGCCGGAGACCATGACATCTCTGACTAGTTTGCAAACTCTGCATGTAGACAACAACAGGCTCATCTTGTTGGAGCGATGGATCTCCGAGCTCCAGTCGCTCACGGATGTGAATCTCAGTGTTAACAATCTTCAGACCCTTCCCTCCACCTTCTCAAGTCTGCCGCGTCTTACACTGCTCAATGTCTCCAACAACCACATCTTCTCCCTGCCCAGGTGCTGCGACCTAAACACTCTGATGGGCGATGACGTTTGTTGCAGATTTCATGAGTCAGTCAAGGTCATAACCGGTCGTTAGCTGTTGTACTTGTGAATTCCATTGCTACCTTGCGTATTCCGAGATACTTGTTGTAGTCGTGTATTCTATGTAAATGATCATGTGTTGCATGCTGAAAGATGATTGCTACTTTTACAACCTCACAGTCTTCAAATGTGCCTGCACAATCTCACAGCCTTCAGTTGGGATACACACTTGCAACAAGAGCTGTAGCAGCACTTGTAATCACCTGATTGTTGACGAAGCCTGAGGCATCGATGAGAAGACCTGTTGAGCAGTGAGATGGGTCGAGAAGAACTAGATGGAGGAGAGGAGCGAGAGGGAGGAGAGGAGCGAGAGGGAGAAGAGGAGCGAGAAAGGTAAGAGGAGCATGGCTACCTCTAGTCGCCTGCGGTTCGTCTCTTGTTCTGAGGTTGGGACTTATCTCGGTGGATATGTCAAAACTGCTCGAGCATTCATGGTCAAACAGCTGGTCAAAACACGTCGGAGCTGACCTGCTGCCCAACGCATCATCCTTACAGAATGTTCCGTTCAAACTGCGAGCAACGCGAGGTGAGAACGAGGAAACACGAAGCGCTGAGCTGCTCAGACCTCCCGCCAGGTTGCAGAGCATCCTGAAGAAGCGTCAGTGACGGGCCGGAGGGGAGAAGCTTCGAGACCTTGTAGTTGTGATCGAAGAAGCGACTGCGCGCGTTGAAACTCGACTAAAGACAAGTTACGTCGCTCGCCTCCGCTCTCCTTGTCTCACCCGGATCCTCTCGATGCTGTCTCGTATGTCTGACAGCTGCTCGTCCAGCTCGACGTCCTCCTGTTACCCACGTGTGAGCTACTTGTGTCGTGGACTTGTCGCTGACTTTGGTTGACAGGAGGTGATCGTGCTCTCGCTGCCGCAAGATAAGAGTCAGCCGTTGACAGCAGACATGCGAGCAGCACCTGACTGACAGACACTTGCAGCCTCGTGCGGTCTGCGGACTGAAACCGTGTCAGGCCAGCCCCTCCCTCCACCTGCTCACCATCTGCGTCAAGTTGTTGCGGTCGGTCATCGACATCTCCTCGTCCGGTTTTCGATTGCCGAGCATGTTGTCGAGGTAAACTGTGTGGTTCGCAATGGCTGAGGAGAACGTCGGTGCTAGCTCCTCTCTCCTGCCTTCACCTCGGTTGCTGCTGCCGCGGAGGCGCTCAAGCTCCTCCTGCAGCTGTGAGGCGACGATGAAGCGTCAGGAAGATGAAAAAGGGATCGAATTCCATGAGTGAGATGCAAGAGCTTGAATGCTCACCTTGCATATCTCAGCCTGTTGCATTAAAGTCTTGTTGTCGGCTGATGAGATCTGGACTTGACCATCACATGATTGACGAACAAGACGCTGAGACTGACCTTGTCCTGCAGCTCGCGGACCTTCCGCTCCTGGTGCTCCTTTAACTATTCTCCCGCAATAAGGAGACGTCAAGTTGCAAGCGATGGAGGAGGTGAGATAGTCAGTGAACGTTGAAGACAAAAGCAAGGGGACTTGAGAAAGAGGACTCTGAAGATGAAGAGAAGGCGTGGGAAGAGACGGGGAAGGAGGACAAGCGAAGAGGAGGAGGTTGGGAGAGGAGCAAGAAGCGGAGGAGAGGACGAGAGAGCATGAAGAGAAGACAAGGCGAGAAGGAGGAGGAGGAGGCAAGCGAAAGGAGTTACCTCGCGCATCTCGCGACGGATCTTCACTTCTTTTGCTTCATAGAGCTTACAAGCTGCTGCTGTCAGGTGCTCACTCCTCTCCGTCCTCTCCTCACCTGTCGCAAGAGAGCTGACAAGGGACTTCTTCTCCTCCTCCAGCTCTCGCCGGTGTTTCTGCGCAACAACTCAACAGAGGAGCCAAGGAATGAGGAAATGCGGAGACGAACCAACGAAAAAGACAAGGAGGAGGAGGAGGAGGAGGAGGAGGAGGAGGTGGTGGTGGTGGTGGTGGTGGGAGAATTCACTTACCTCGACAAGTTTTTGCTTCTCAGCCAAAGATTCGTATGACTTGTTGAGCCGATCCATATCACTCTGAAGATAACAAAGATGGTCTTAGTGAGGTAGGGAACGGAGAGATTGGAAAGGAAGAGGGAAGGAGTGAATGAATCAACAAGAATATACTTGAAGTTCTCGATTCTTGTCGAGGAAACGATTAAGAGTTTGCTTGTCAGTCTCTAGTTTGTTATTCTGTCTGAACGTTAGAACACGATGAGCGTGTTCAGATGTCCAACCTTTTCCGATAGAGAATGCAAAATATTCTTCATACCCTCTATCTCTTTTTTGTTCTGCTCTATCAGCTTTTGGTCCTGATGCGAGATCAACTGCATCCCAATTACAATATTCCTCACCTTGAAGTGGCTTTCCTTGTAAATGTTTGACATGTTGATGTCTTCTCGCTGTTTCTCACACTGCTCAAAGAAATGACGAACATTCTCGTGCCATCATTTCTTACAAGTTGCTCCAAGTCGTGCACTTGTTTCTCAAAACCTTCAATCTGCTTTCTAAGAGCGGCGTTTGACGTCTGTTGACGTGTAAGAAGCAGCGCACATGAGAGGAGAGGAGGGAGAGTGTGTCAAGATATCACCTTCACGCCCATTAGCTCCTCCAGCAAACTTGTTTTCGAATGTTTCTCCATCTTCAAATCTTCAACCTGCAAAAGGGAGGAGAGGAGCGGAGATAAGAGAGGCGATGAGAGATGGGGGAAAGCGGAGGACAGGAGAGGAAGGGAGAGGAGGAGTGAGGAGGGATGAGGGGAGAAGTAAAGAGAGGAGGCGAAAGGGGAGAGGAGAGTGAGAAGGGGAGAGGAGGACCATGAGAGTACAGCAATGAGGAGGAGAGGAGGGGGAACCTCTTTGTGTAAGGTCTCGACGTGTTGTTGAAGTTGGACTCTCGTGCTCTCATGCTCGTTCTTGTTCGCCTTCATCAACATCAGCTGCTCGTCAGCCCAGATGGAGTCAAACCGTGATAATGAGTTGAAGCGACGCGATGCTGTCTCTCAGCATTCTATTCTCCTCCTCCAACTTCCCTTTCGCGGCCTGTGCGAGTCAAGACGAAAGTCAATCGCGTCAAACCTGTCGACACCGACATGGTTACCTGCATGGCAGCATTTTCTCTTTCATCTTGCTGCTCTCTATCGTCATCTCTTCGCTCTTTCTGTCTGCAATGTTCTACAGAGTTGCGGCAGTCAGGTGCGCATACACGAGCAGACTTTTGTCAAACCTCGTTGAGCAGGACGACTTGATGCTTCAGCATTGAGTTTTCTTCCTTCAACTTCTGCAGGTTTGCAATCTGAAAGGCAATCATCTTCGCCGTCATCGATGTCAATATCATCATTCATATCATCATCATCATTATCATCATCATCGTCGTCGTTGTCGTCGTCGTCGTCATCATCATCATCATCATTTCCTCTTCCCCCTCCTCCTTTCTAATCTTGGGTTGCATCAGCAAAGACTTCACCTCCTCCTTCAACGTCGCAACCTCATTCAGAGACTGCAAACGAGTATATGAGACTTGGAAGACGCAGGTGGGTTATTTTGCAGAAGCCCAAGCGAAGGTATGATGGGGAGGAGTGGGAGAGCACAAGAGGGAACGTACAGCTTCAAGCTTATCCTTGAGGTTTCTTTGAAGATCAGATTCTGTCAGACAAGTCAGGGCTCGTCGAGGTCAAACAGGCTCATGTACGGCTGTCCTGCAGTTCGAAGAAAGTTTGCTGAGACTGGACCAGACGCTGCTGCATGTCTGACAGCTCCTTCTTCAAGGTCACGATCTCCTCGTTTAGAAGCTTTCCTTGCGCCTTCACCCTCACCCGTCATCCCTCCCTCCCTTCTCTCCTCCTCCTCACCTCTGCTTCCTTGAGCTGCTTGACGTGCGAGCCCTCATTGGACACAACGAGCATGGCGGCTTCTAGTCGCTCCTGCACGCTCATCAGCTGGCACGAGCTCGCGCATGTGGTCGACCTGGAGCTCCTTGTTCTTCCTGCGCTCGTTTGCGAGGTCGTCGGAGGAGTGATGGGCCGTCAAACTTGCGGACCTTTTAGACTTTCAACTTCACACCTCCCTCTCTTCTCGCGCGCACCCGCCAGCTCCCATGGTTCGCCGCAAGTCCTCAAGCTGCCTGTCTCTCATCGCTACCTCTGCTTCTGACTTGGCCTGCAGCAGCGTCAGGCCTCAAGAGAGCGTCTCACTTCGCACCTTGAGCTCCTCGTAGAGAAAGGAGAACCGGTTCATCTCCCGCTCCTTATCTTTGCTCAGCTGCGTCACGTGTCATGTTGAGCATCCGAGCAGGAAGACTCACAGCTTCCACTTGACGCTGGAGGTTTCCCAGGAGAATCTTCGCATGCTCGATGGTAGAAGGTTCCTGCACAGCTAGAGAAGGAGAAGAAATCTCTATGGGCCTGCAGCGCCAACAGCCATCATACAAGTGAGAATTGGAGCAGTCAAACCTCACCTGAGAAACTCAGGAGGAACAGGTTTCAACCCAATAGCTTCCTCCGTTGCTGACATGCTAAACAGTCTTGTTCTTCAAAATCCAAACGATCTAAGCGATAAAAATCAATTCTTCAACATCTAGTTTTCATCTCCAGTCCTCCAAGTTTTCTTTGATCTCCAGTCCTCCAAGTTTTCTTTGATCTCCAGTCCTCCAAGTTTTCTTTGATCTCCAGTCCTCCAAGTTTTCTTTGATCTCCAGTCCTCCAAGTTTTCTGAACATTCTGTTTTCTTACACTTCTTTTTTGCTGACACACCTCTCTTCACATTTCCTCCCTTTCTGATTCTTTTCTGTCCTCCCGAGTTCTCAACTTCTCTTGTTCTGATCTCTTCCTGCTCTCCTCCCCTCTTCTTTTTCTGTCCTCTTCTCCTGTCCTCAACTCGCTTTTTGTTCTCACTTCTCGCCAACAACCATTATGGCAGTTACTTCCAATACCCCCACCCCCCTCCCACACTTAGAAGACCCCACCTCTTTGTATGCTTTTTGTCTCGATGCGCACCCACCCCAACAATCTTTACTCAAAAAAGTTATCATAGGAGACTAGTGGTTTTTTTTTACTTTCAACAAACTTGAAGTGGCTCTATGGCCAACAAACTGAAGGAGAGTGTACAGGAGGAGGAAGGGAAGGGAGGCAGGGGAGGGTGAGGGGGGGAAGGGGAGGCAGGGCGATGCGAAAGGCGAGGAGGAGAGGAGGAGAGGAGAGCTGAGGGTGAAGAAGGGAGGAAGAAGGGCAGAAGTGGAGAAGTGCTGCATACAAGGTGCTCATCACCGACGCCCAGCACCGCGTCGCCCACTTCCTCACCTTCAACCTCAACACCGGGGTGCTGCTCCTCCTCACGCAGGCCGTCTACCGCACCCTCGCCGACCCCTACGTCGGGCTGCTGCTCGTCATGCTCGCCCTCCGGACGTTTTCTACAAGCTGCTCCAGCTCGAGGTTGGGCGCTGGTCCGCCGGCCGCCTCGAGCGCTGCGGCCAGCTCTGGCTCGAGACCCTCCTCATGGCCTTCGACAACGCCGTCCTCGTCTTCACCCACTACGTCGGGTTCCGATGGTCCTTCCTGTACCCGTTCGACGGGGACGCTTCGTTCGTCGTTATCTATGTTCAGCTGGTTCGTCTGTAGGTTTGTTATTAAAGAATATTGAAAGATCGCGGGGCTGTAAAGGGTTGGGTTGATGCGGCCTGGGTGGTTGCTTGTTGTGTTGCTGCCGGTCGGATGAATAGCGGTTGATTTCAATCACGCAGCTCTCGTGTGTGATGACGATTCATACAGTGTGGAATTTGAGGTGCCAGATGACAAGTGTGCTTGCGAGGATGGATACTTCAACCCAAATCCCAAATCAGTCGACAAATGTTACAGCTGTATTCTGTACGAGGTCTTCACCCCGGACTATTACAACGAACCGCCATACGACAGCATTGTCAACGGTAACAATCACTACGCCCATGTGCCGTGTGACACTGGGCAGTACAGAACCGGAAGTGGTACAAGGTGGTCAGTAGATGTAGGCGCGAACCGAAGGATCCAGCCTGGTTACGGGCCTGGGGTATGCGTCTCCTGCCCGACCTGCCCAACCGCGTTCCCGTACCCGGTCGAGTACCGGTCAGGCTGCTCGGGGATTGACGCCGGGACCTGCCAGCCCTGCACCACATGCACACTGTACGACCCCGAGAAGCAATCGTCCCAGTACCCGCCGGCTGCGGCCAGCTAGACAACCCGGGCACGTGCACCTGGTGCTCGGACAAGGTGCAGCCGCAGCGATGCGGGTCCGCGGAGTGGCTCAGCGGGTGCGGGGGACATGCCCCGGGGCAGTGCATCGCCTGCAGCTCCGCGACGGGCAAGTTCTGCGCGGAAGGCAAGTCCCAATGAGGTCAGGATAGGTGGGGGACAACACCCTGTACGCGACCAGCCCAGGGGTGTGCGTGCCCTGCACCGTCGAGATGAAATGGTAGTACCGCCATGACTGAGGGCAAGTTCTTCCTCGTTCCTCGTTCCGAATTGCCGCCGGCGCGCTACTAATGTCAACTGTGGCAGTGCGGTTCATAAGGAGGCGACGCCAGGCAACCCAACTAGGTTCTGAGACAACAATGGTCCTGGTGTGGGTCCACAAGGCCTCGCAGACATGCCGGAGGAGCTTGGCCACTCGCGCGTCTCGTTGTCATACTCCAATGTCTTCCTCATCGTCTGGCTTCTGCTCATCATCTTACACCAGGTGTCTTCCTGCATATGTTACATGCGATTTTCTAACTTGAATGCTCAAGTGCATCTCATCAAGATGATTCCTCCAACAAAGGTGATACTTGTGCAGTGATCTTGTTTCATGATGTTTATGACGAGATCAATTACACGGTAGACCTAGCGCATCATTGTGAAGCATTTGCAAAGGTTGAATTGTCAAAAAGTATCTTGAATGATTGCTTTACAGGCTCGCCCTTCGGCGTATTTTCCACTGTTCATTCCGAAGAAGCACAAACTCAAAACGTTGGAAACAGAAAAGTTTGATACGATCTCGGAATTCTGATTCTTGACATTTGTGAGATGCAGTCCAACAGAAATCAATCAAAAGCAACATAGTTCGTTCTTTCGTAGGCCATTATCAGACGGATTGATTGCATTCTCCTCTGACAAGGTTTCCTGGTGTTTTCTCTCTGCCATAATATTGCTGATGAAACACAAGGGCAAGAAATTATTCAAAGATGTACTTCTAAATTCTGCGCTGAGAAAGAAAGGTTTTCATTTCCCTTTCAGTGATCGTCTTGTGAACTGACGAATGTGGTATGGAAGGCGGTCAGTATGTATTGCCAATTTTGTCAGGTTTTATCTGCAGAGACCATGCGTGTCGAAACGTGAAAGTGTATGCTCAGCTTTTGAGATGCAGAAGCATCCTGTATCATGTGGATTAGCATCAATCTCCATTGCGTTGAACACTTTGAAGGTGTGTCCCATTTTTACTGTTGAAACGTTCTAAATATATTTCTAAACGTGACTTCCCAAATGAATGATAGATTGCAACTTGGAGGGATGCGACGGGGCCGACAGGGCCGACAGATCTCATGTCAGACGCTTTATTTAGGTCGAGTGATGATCTCAATGACGATTTTCATGCTGTGACTGAAGAAGAGGTGAGGAAATCTGTCAGCAGCAAATATTTTACGCCGCAATATCACAGGTGAACGGATTTCTGCTTGATGAAGAAGAAAGGACTAGAGCTGCAAGAAATGGGGTAACTCAGAACCTTTCAATCAATACGTTGAAAGTGAAATTTCAGGTATCCCTTCAAGACGTGGGAAACATTTCGAGGAAAGTACCGCATTTGAAGGTCGAAGTCGTGCATGCACATTCAAAACTTACTCTGGTAGACATCCAAAATGTTTAGGAAGAAATGTGATTGACTTTCCATCCTAGGATGATTTTAGAAGCAGAATACAAGAATGCATGAAAGAGTCGCTGGAAACAGAAAACCATTCGAATATGGTGAAGCGGCCGGAAAAAGTTATGATCGTGAATTTTAGTCGATCTGCCCTCCAACAGTCTGGATCTGGACATTTCTCGCCGGTAGACATTGAGAAAAGAAAATTACTTTTCAGACACTGACTTTACAAACAGATCGCATGTTGGCACGAAGCTGAAGACTTGGTCCTGTTGCTCGATACTGCAAGATTCAAATATCCTGGTACTGCTGTTTTGCAAGGCTTCGATGTCTGTTTAGTGGATTTCAGCCTTTTGGGTCTCAGTCGTAGATTTGTGGAAAGCTTGTGCGACATCGGATAGGCAAGTGCTATCTTCCTCGTTGTTTTCTGATACGATAGTCAGCGATAAGACTGATCCGCGTGGGTTCGTGATTCTTTCAAGATAGCATAATATTATCGCTCTCCCTTTTAGAACACTTCTACCAGTGTTTGGACTCGTCTTGCTCCGTGTTGAGTGGCACGACCAAAAAAGATCAGGGGTGGGGTGGGGGTGGAAATTCATTTATGGGTGAGGGTGGGGTGGGGTGGTCTTGAGGCACAAGCAAGGACGGCTTGGCGACGAGAGGATCAACAAGTGGAGGAGTCAGGGACGAGGTAGAGCGAACAGTCGACTAGAGCGAGGAAGAGTATCTCAAGACACGATGACTCCAGCACAGAGACTCACACATGCATTCCTCGTCATAGAACTCTGCGCCATCCCGTTTTCCCTTGCCTCGGGGTCCTCGCGCGTTCCTGAAACGAACTTGCGTCTGAGAGGTGGAAGTGGGACCATGCAATACACCTCTACCCAGCCCAAGCAAACACAAGTAGACTCCTTGTTAGAAGGCGAACGGAAGCCGGACCTCAAGAAGACGTCCTCCAGACTTATTCTGGAGGAAATGCAAGTATTCAAGTAAAGAGGGGAGCCGGTGAGATAACACTCTTTTACAGAACGTGTCGACTGCAGTAAACCAGACCAAGCCGAAATTGCTATATAGGATTGATGGGAAAGATGTGAATCTCTTGCCGTGCGGAATTCCTTTTGACGCAGCCACATAGGTGACGGAAGAAGAGTACATGGCCCGAGTCTCCTCCGTCGCAAACCGTGTAATTGACCCGTGGATTTCTCAAAGTGTAAGATGTAGTGCTGCTGGATCTTTTGCTCCCCAACTATGAAGCAGGACAGGGGAGGCTTCAAGGAAGGAGACGTTCTCGTGCCGGATCACTGCTCCTCCATCCCCGAGGCAGTGGCGAGAGTAAGGTGAGTTTTTCTTTCAACAGACTTTGAATTGATAGGGAGTAAATCGCAGGCATGATGGCACAGTATACATAAGAAAAGGTTTGGCCAAATCACTACCAGGGATGCAGCTGCTCGCTAACCTTTCAGAAGGAACGTACAAATGGGATGGTGTATTGGTTGTACAGAAGCACATGCACTTAAGGGGGGAACCAAATCCAGATGAAGGAGACGGGTAAGACTTGACGTCTCTTGTGTTCTCATATATGATTATTTTACCTTCGGCAGGCAAGGGAGACCGACTCTCGAAGGTAGGTGGTTGCTGGGTGAAAACAGCTCCGGATCCTTTCAACATGTGAACTGTGAGAATTCTCATATATAGTTCGCATTTTTCACCCTCTGAATTTTCAGGTATTGCACGATTTGATCAGAATAAGAAGGGTCCTGTCGAGGGATAGTAGAATAAATGCTTGGGATTGAATGTCATGCTATTGTGGATTGGACTGATCATCTTTGAAGAAAGGATCAGTACATCTCGAAATGTACTACGAATGATGGAAATGTACTAAAACACAATATACTTTCTTGAGCTGCCTTTCGTACACTTCTCATTCTAGAAAACAATTCATGTCAGAATGCATTATACAACATGAGTTATCAAAAAATCTGTAGGATCTGATACCTGTTGGTTTGAGATGGCATTAGTCTCTTTGTCCACAATGGGAACCTGGCTAAGTCTGCGTTGCATGTTTACGCGGGACATGTTTGCGCTGAATGGCAATCTCCTGGAAGCTTTGTTGGGAGTGACTGGCTTGTAGGGGCTTCAAATGAAGGTCAGGGTGAAGGACACATTATCACAAGATTACTTCACAACTCCAAAAGGGTCATTACTTGGTCGACCTCCTGGACAAATCTGCAACAGACGTCAAGACGTATGATGATGTCAAGAAAGGAGAGATTACGAGATCTTCTTTCCAAAGTCCCTCATAAATATGTCCATCTGACCAGACCATTTTCCCATATCCATGACGAAGATTTTTTTTCAGTTGACCAATGTACCTGTCTCCGTTTGCATACCATACTGATCCCAAGCCATGCATCTGCAAGTCTAGACAAGTACCGAAGTATCGGTCACCATCGGCATGTAAAACTTTTCTGATTACGATACTTCCGTTATTGGTCGAAGACATTGATCTCAATGACGGAGAGCGGATTTTGCTTTTTGAGTGAGTGTTGGAATTGATCTTTTCATTTTGCACATTTTCAGACACTTCGTTTTTCATAAAGTCATTGGATATCATCTCCACTGCAAACTTGCACTGTGTTGTGAAGCTTTCGAACATACTCGCAATATCGTCGAAGCCTTTCTTTGACGAGGTTCTGCGCTGATTCAATATTTTCATCATATCGCTCTCGGTTATAAAAGTTTCGGTAAGAACTAATTCCTGGACTGAAGTCCTTTGCTTTTTGCCCTGCTGCTCTTGATGTGAAATGGAGTTTGTTTGAATGCGACTGGACGCTGAACCAATATTTGGTAACTTGTTCTCCTGATTTTCTACCGAGAGAGAAAGTGTTGCAGTTTCCCGTTCTCTTTTTCGGTGTAAAGCTGATGGCTTTCCTGGTACATCGCAGGCCTCTTTGCGTAATTGGTGAGGAGGGGAGAGCATTCTCATTTCGATTTTTTCCGATTTTGACGTAAAATTGTTGCAAATCGATTCAAGATAAGAAGAATGTGGGAGAATGATATGTTAGGTGTTGTATTGTAGTCTTGAATGTGAAAACAATATGATATGACCGATTACCTGTTTGAGTAAATGTACCTGTGCTGCATCATACATGCCAATGCTTTTTTAACGGCTGTTTCACCTCGGAGGGTCCAGGGTGTTCATATTACTTTTATTATTAACTGAAAAAGAAAGGCAAACCGGAGCAAGGGAGGACGAGGATAAACCCTACAAACCCGCCTCAATAAAATACTAGGAAACGAAGGAGGCAGTGAAAATCGCTACTACAACCACGCAAGCGACGGCATGCTGAGCAGGGGAACAAGGATCAGGACTGTGACAAAGAGCACTGTAGATGCAAGGCCGCTGAGGTCGGCCTGCTCAAGGCAGGTCAGCGCCGGGCCGCCCCGCTGGCTCAAGGCAGAGTCAGCGGCCTGCTCAAGCGGCAGGTCCCGGAACCTGCTCAAGGCAGGTCAACCTGCTGAGTCAAGTTTAGGGTTTAGGGAGGCGAGACTCAGAGCGAGGAAGGAGACGGGGCGTGCCCGTACCGAGCTTGAGCTGAGCCGCGGGGACCGTACCGTACGGGCGGCTTGACGCAAGACATCACGGCGAAGAAGCCTCAGTGAGACGGTGCCGCGGTGGCACTGCCGGCAGGCCGGGCCCCGGGGCCCGGGCCCGCCGGGCGGCGGCGCCCCGGCATGTCGGCCGCTAATGATTGCGCTGACCTCCTTTACTCAAAGTTAAGTTAAAAATCAGCAAGAGGACAAAATCCTGCCAATTATAAAAACAAAAAGGTGCTCATTTTAAAAAAGGATAATTCTAAATCAAGTCGTACGAAATTTAACTTAACCTCGAGTAAAGAGAGGATCGCAACGTTTCGATATCTCGGTAAAAGCCGACGAGCGGCGCGTTCCACACAGCGTACACATGGCGTGCGCAGCCTAGTCCGACTTCCTTCTCGTGTGCCTCTGCCTCTCCATCTGACTGACAACATAATATCAATTATCATCCTGAGACAGCAAGATTGTGTTACTGAAAGCTTTCCTGTTGTGTGTTGAACGAGGACAATGATAACGAACACAAATGTATTTGTTCAACTGTACGTATGATTAACATACAGCATCTTTCCATAGTACATGCATATGTTCAAGAACAGGCAGAGGTGAAGAGGATATTCCAACGGGCTAACGTCACCGTTTCCTGTGCATGTGTCAAGCCAAGCAGATTCCAGTGAGTTCATCTGCGGTCACCATGGATTGGAGACATGAATCCTGAAGGGGACACAAATATCGTGAGCATTTGCTTGAATTTAGGAAGCTCATTCATAAAAGGTTTCATACTGTACGTTTCATGCTGTTGATTTCCTGCATTGACAGCATCAGGGCTCTCATCTCTCATGCAATATCCCTGATGCTGGAATCTCATCATTGTGAGTGCAACGCAACCTTCGCATACGCTAGGGTCATCTGCATTTTAACCTAGATCTTAAAAAAACCCTTTCTCCAGGTTAACTAAACTTGGAAAGACCTCTACCACAGTGAGACTTTTTGAGTACACAAGAGCTACAAATATATTTTTTTATAAATTAGTAGGATTTTAGCCACTTCGGCCGCTGCATAAAACTACTTTGACGCTACATAAGTAGGGGTACTCTCCCCCTCCGCGACTGTCAATACGATGGATCGGATATTTCAGATTACCACTGCGGACTCCTCGCAGCCAAGTATCATTCTACTAGTAAAGCATTATTAAGTATACAATGTTTTAGCCCCTTTACTAAGAATGTACCCTCCTCTCCATTTCGACAGACGATCTGAGGAGGGGCAGGAGACCAGATGCTCGGAGGGTAGCAGTGAGGAAAGAACAGAGCAGAGACAGGTTGGGAGAGAATAGGAGAAGAGGGGGGAAGAGAGAAGAGTGAGAGAGGGGGGAGATGGCGAAGAGAGGAAAGGAGAGGAAAGAAAGGAAGAAGGCCGGAAGAAAGAACTTCAAGTAGGCGACGAATACAATTTTGCTCAACATCGAAATACGATGGAAAGCAATCAGGTTTCTCCCGAAGTAGGAATGATTGCTGAAGACATCAGCGGCTCTGCTGGCTCGATCCGCGATGAAGACATGGAAGTATCCGTGGCAATCCAATCGGACTCCACTCCAGTTCTCATCTCCCCTGGGATCAACGACAAGATTTTACTTCCGACTTCGTCCGAATGTATACTCAAATGCCAGGGAACTACATGCAGCGAAGCCTCGAAAAGAGTGTCATTTTCCAAAAGAGACCATCGCTCGTCCTATTTTCGCAGGACCCCATCTCAGCAGCGATGGCGCTGATTGGGTTTCGGTTCTTGCTCTTTGCCGGAGGGTTTGCTTGGATTGTTGCAATAGCGCTCAAGGTAAAGGAGGTGCACGGGTCGAGGTATTTCGCGTACCTGATTGAGGAGAGAGTGCGACAGTTTTCCATGGCAGACATGACGGAAACAGGAAAGCTAGCATGTGGTTGGGAGTCGTTCTTGGAGGTGTTTTCCAACTTCCTTGTTGGTGTGGTTGCTATGGCTGCAGGAATATTGAGTATGGTGAGTGTGAGGCTGGTCAAGCAGGTGAGAAGTTGTGTGGAGAAAGATGTTGATTGCTGAAGTTCTTTGGCTTGCTTGCAGGTCATCGTGGTGGGTGGACTGATAGATGCGGCTTGCAACTTGTGTGTGTTCATACAGATGATGCTCGCGGTACGCAAAAGGACGGTGATGGGGACGTCATGGTATGTGTTCTTAATCGCCATGCTCACGGTGAGAAAGAGGCATGCAAGTTGTCAAGCATGTTGATTGAATCTGGTATTGGCAGGACTTGTTGATATTTCCCCTGCCTCTGATCCGATGGGAAGCATACACAATTGAGCTGATAGCGGCGGGTTCGCTCATTCGAATCATTAGCATTGCTGCAAGCTCGACAGTACCGTACAAGTGCCTTGCTATCTTTGTGTTCTTTTCGACGTTGCTTGGATTGCGAGAGGGGCTTCGGAGAAGGACGAAGAACAAGGCAGCGGGTCTCGGAGAGCAGTTCGACCAAGAATGGAGGCAGTTGAGAGATCTGGATGCGATACTGAAGCTCAAGGAGGCTGTCAGCCGAGCACAAGTTAGATCAAGAACGACTCAAGGAGGTGGAGAAGGAGGAGGAGGGGGAGCCTCGTTCACATGGCTCAGACGACAGTCCCTGCTGGCTCCTCTACCATCGACCTCTACGTCTTCGTCACAGCCGAGCATGATAGTTCAGTACGCGCAGGAGTGTCAGGGCAAGGATCTAGATCAGCTGTATGCCCAGGCGGTACTTGTGTCCCCCTTGTTCTTGAGCAAGGTACAGTCGTGGGCGGAGGCGAGCGACGGATATTTTCTCATGAACATCCCGTCGGCAAAGAGGAAGCACTACCTTCGATGGCGAGACTGCAAAGGCGACAGCTCCAAGCTTTCTCGAATCAAATGGGCGTCCATCAAGAACGCTAACCGAGCCATCGAGAAGATTTTGCTGTTGTGCAATGGCGACACGTCGAAGCTGACGGATATCGTGCGGCAGACGATCGTGTTCAAAGAGCTGCGGCAGCTTGTCGAGTGCGTGGAGGTCATCATCAATGACTCGGAAGTGGAGGTGGTGAGGATCAAGAACCGGCTCGACCCGGACTACGACGCGTCGACGTCGGGAGGCTACAGGGACGTGGGGATAAACTTGCGGGTGATCCACGAGGGGGCGAAGAGGTGGGGGGTAGCTGGGCACGTCTGCGAGTTGAGACTGACGGTACAGTCGCTTCATTCCCTCATGGACTCACAGAATCATACGCTGCATTTGTCGATGAAGAATGTTCTTCGTTTCAGGCAATCGCAAGGGGATGAGATAACCATGAAAGAACAGCAAGGAGAGAGAATGCAGGATAGGAGGAGACGGTCGTCGTCGACGTTGGAGACATTGCTTCCTACCCACATGTCAAGCTCCATGGGTTACTCAAAGTCCCTCGCGCAGGAGAAGTCCGACATTGCGCTGCTGATCTACAAGAGCATGTATCCCGGCAACATTCTGGACAAATACCTGACGTCGTCTGGTCATGGTGTAGCCAAAGCTGACACGACAAGCATTCTGTACTCGTCCCACCCGCTAAAGAATGTCCTGCACAAGACTCTGTTCCAGCTGCTGCTGCTGCTTGCGGGGATTGGTTTTATCATCCTTTGCAGCAACAACTTTCGTTTAAAATCACTCTTCACAAATCACATTGTACCTTTTGGGCACGCAAGGATCACATTTGAAGGGTATGTGGACGCTAACGTCTCTATCAAAGACCGTGGTATGACGATCGAAGACTTCCTTCTTGTCAAAGATACATGCCACGTGTACAACTGGACTTCATCCGTGACAGTCGCGAACAAGGTCTTCTTTACATTCCCTCATGTGGTCTATCCCAATGGCTTGAAGTTTAAGCTGACTCCAGCGCTCATCTCGTACCTCAAGACAGATGCGCTCGCTATCGACTATCTGAGCGCGGAGGGCATTGATGACGTGACAGTTGCAAGAATGGAATGGCAATCAGTCTCTCCTTCTACGGTCAGCTGCAAACGGTTTCCCTCGTTGCCTCTTTGTCATTCAGAATTTTTGCTTCATGCCGACGAATCTCTTCTTATCGACTTGCGCTTCACCTGGCAAGCAATCTGCATATTCCTCATTGCGGTGTTTCAGATTTTATGCTGTCTAGGAGCCGCATTCTTCGCTCGGCTCGGAAAGGTTCGGCTTGCAAAGTTCGCGTTTACCTCGGCCTTCCACCTCGTCGGGCTTTGTGAGATCTTCACTGCTTTGTCCCCAGAGTCTCTGTATGGCAATTGGAAAGACTTTTACATGGCATGGGGAGTCCTCGACGTGTGGGTGGGTCTTGTGGTTCAGTTCCAAGAGCGCTACATGCTCAAGGCCTTCGTCGTCTACTGCACGATCACGGCGTTCTTGCCTCCTCTAGCTCAATACAATTGGGATGCGTCCAAGCTCAAGGAGTCAGACATCGGGTTGAGCAGCCTAGTCTTGCTTGCTCTGGTTATCTTCTTCGTGTTGAACAGAAGGTTCATCGTCTACAAGTCTCGGCGGCAGATCAGAGGAGACCAGAAGATGTACGACGACTGCTGGAAGGACTTGCTATCCCGGGAGCAAACTGAGCAGCTCTTGAGCTCCCTCAAGATCACCTGCGGATGGGTAAGGCCGCAGCCAGCGCTGCAGTTGAAGATCTTCGATGCCTTGTGCGAGGTTGAGTCGACGATTCTTGACCCGCTGGAAAGCGTTTTGAGAAGACAAAAGAACAGCAGCTTTGCTCGAACTTACTTGAAGCGTTCAAAGCTGACGGTCATGAGGCAGGACAGGGAGATTGAGTCCCTCGACCAGCTGTACGCTCAGGCGATTTTGTTAGAGCCCATGTTTTTGAGCAAGGTTCAGTCATGGGCAGAGGCTAGTGACGGATGCTTTCAGGGGTTGGAAGGAAGCCTCATTCGCTGGAGGGAGTGCGCAGAAGAGGCTGAAAAGGCGTCACAGGTCAAGTGGGCGTCCATCAAGAACGCTAACCGAGCCATCGAGAAGCTCGTCAGGTCTTACTTTGGGAGAGTCTCGAAGCTCACAGACGTGGTCCGTCAGACGATCGTGTTCAAAGAGCTGCGGCAGCTTGTCGAGTGCGTGGAGGTCATCATCAACGACCCGGAAGTGGAGGTGGTGAGGATCAAGAACCGGCTCGACCCGGACTACGACGCGTCGACGTCGGGAGGCTACAGGGACGTGGGGATAAACTTGCGGGTGATCCACGAGGGGGCGAAGAGGTGGGGGGTAGCTGGGCACGTCTGCGAGCTGCAGCTGCTGCTGGAAGAGTTTGTTGCGCTGAAATCAGCGGAGGGGCACAAGAGATACGTGATCTTTAGAAACTCTAGGTGTGAATAGCAACAGAGAATTGAGGAACAACAGGGAGGGAAGTGAAGGAAAGGATTGAGTCAACGGTAACCTTACGGTGACAATCTCTGCATATGATGTCACGGAATCAGAATAAAAAATCAGCGAAGAGTGTTTCACATGAGAAACCAAACAGATTCGAAAATCAACCGAATGATACTGTGATCTATTCGATACACTTCCACCTCCTTTCACTATATTCTTCTCTTCCACCTTCTCTCCATCCTCTCCTTTCCTTTTCTACCACCTCGTAGAATTGCTCCTATTTGCCTTTCTCTCTTCTCTAATCCCCTGTCTTAATTCCCCCACATGTAGACGATGAACCTTCTGTTCAACACGAAGAAGACAACCAGCGCAAGCAGAGATGAACGATGACATGCAGGAAAATCTTCTTCCTTCCCCTTCCTTTTGGCGTTCAGAATCGCATTTCTTTAAAAGATCAGCAAAACATATTGCAATGGAAAAAGCATTTCAGTAGTCATCAGTCCTCATAGAGATTAATCAGAGCTGCTTCGAAAGAAGAAAATAAAACACGAATACTGCAAAAGCTTGGAATGCGGGAGAGTAGGGCTGTTGTTTGTTCTGTCAGTGGCCAAGAAAATGCTGTTGCTGATGTTTTCTCAAGAAGTTCTTGCAAGTCCAGTTTCATCTCTGCATTGTCCACGAGATCCGATGGTATTCCTGTTTTATTGCGTCATCCTGCTCAAAAGGGTTTGAGTTCCCTGCAAGATTCAAACCAGATGAATGAAATCTTTGACGGAAGGCAGGGAGATTTCAGAAAATTGTACAACTGGATCGAGTCTACCAACCTCGAGAGGATCACAATGGAAGCCGGATCCCAGTCTGGCGCTGTGGATTTCCAGATCTTCATCGGGCTGAAGTGTTTGCAAAGGACGGAACCAAGAGTGACGTTGAGCTGAGACAAGTGGCTCTCGTTGTGATGAGGTTGGCCTGTGTTATGTTTGCGTCCCGTGTGCCTCCGTCTTTTGCACTTTGGTTGCTCCGTCCATTTGCCCAGCGAAAAGGGTTCATCGTATCCTTTGTGCGATACACCAACGGGAGCATAAACCTCATCCTAAAGGGCTGCTTGTACTTCTTACTGTATCTTCACAAGGAGAAACGGCAACCCAATTAATTGTTGAGATCTGACGTATTTCCCATTTATTTGTGAGACCTAAACCCTAAACCCTCATCATCAACGGAGGTCGTGCAAGCAACGTTCATGTCAAACATCAAAGCAAATCATGCTGAAATTGTTCTTGAGCAGAAGGGGTTTAGGATTTAGTCATCATCAAGTCGACGGCGGCATCGGGTCGCTTCACGAGGAAGGAGATGGAGGGGCTGTGCAAAGGCGGCAACACGTCCATCGCAAGAGTCAAGAGAGTCTTGTTGGAGATCGCAATCAGACTCGAGAAAGTCGAAGGGATCGACATGGAGGAGGACTCGAATACCAAGTCATGGAACGGGTCCAAGCTATGCATCTTCCTTGGCTCCACGGAGGATGTTCGACGTATGATGAAGAAGCTGCCCTTCTTTCTCGAAGGAGCAGCAACCAAGCTCGAAGCAGTCGGCTTCGACATAGAGCGGCCTGAGGCAGCTGGTCAGCGGGGCACCAGCGACGCAGCGCAGCGACAGGAGGAGAGCGAGGGAGATTGGCTGGAGTTTACAGACCTGGAGAGGATCACAATGGAGGCAGCATCTCCGTCAAGCCAAGAGGACATGCAGCTCGTCAGCGAGCTCTCAGCAGTACCCCAGAGGAGCAGGGAGTGAGACGCAATGTTCTCAAGGAGAGCGCTGGACTCGCGTGCAAGGAGACAGCAAGAAGGCAAGCGCTGAAGGTGGACAAGAAGGACCGACTTCTTGCAGGATATAAGCATTTCATCTTGCAGGATATAAGCATTTTAGTACCTACATGCTTGTCCCTGGCTACTCTTACCCGATCAAACAACAGGCGAACATGCCTTCATACAAGTTGCCAACCAGCCGATTTCGGCAAATCTGTTGCATGAAACTTTTGGGGATGATGCATGATCGCTCAAGCAGATAGAGAATTTGAGGGAGGAGAAGTTTGATGAGGGAGGAGAAGTGGAGGAGGGAGAAGTGGAGGGAGGAGAAGTGGAGGGAGGAGAAGTGGGAGGGAGTAGAAGTCTGAGGAACGAGAGAGACTGGGACAGGAACGACGGCAGAATTTTCCAACTTCGAGAGTTTGACAAGGGGGCCGAAAGGCCCCAAGGGAACGGCCAGCCGAAACAGAAATAGAAGGTAGAGAGACAAAATGAAAAAGAATGGAGAGTGACGGGCGGGATGACAGGGTGACAGTGGGGGGGGATTTGAGCCAGTCATGGCGTCAAAGCAGTACTCTGGCATAACTGATGGATCATGAAATCTTAAGTTAGAGCACACGATTTACTTTCACTCCTCACAAACAATTAAGTTTCTACCTTGGAATGCGCAAATATCAAACATTTTCCTTGTTCCTCATTCCCATGACACATTCAATCTGTGTGTGCTTGTATAGCTTCCGACAAAAACGAGATGAAGCTGTAGGTGTGCTTTACATGAACTCCGTCGAGTAGCTCAGACACTTCATCGAGCATGTCTTCATCAAGGTCATCCAATGTCATGCAATCTCTCAACTCCCAATCAGTTTTAAATGCACTTCCTTCGAGAATAACTGATTCTACAAATTGGACCAGGCATTGGCGTAGTGCAGCCAGTGTTTCAGTATTTGAATCCGACAACATCTCTTTGAGCTCGTGCGAATTTTTCATTTCACATCTAAAAAGTTGCGGCAATTCTTCAAAGGAACATCTCCTCGAAGTTTCAAAGAAGTTCCGAAGAGCAATGAGATGCTTCAGTTTGAGAAACTTTTCACCATTGCTTGATTCACAACACAAAAACTTCATGAGCTGAGGCCACTCCTCAAAATTTTCGTAGAGAGAGATAGTTTTTGCAAAATCAAAGATCGTGATCACTGTAGAAGAATTTCCGAACTTCTTTACGCTCGAAATGAGAATCTCAATCACCTTTTTCATTTCTTGTACTTGCTCAAACTCTTTTGTTGCATTTTCTTCGATCCACAATTGAATTTTCTTCTTGATATACATTGGGAGATCTTAGATAGATTCAAAGTGTAATCGCTTTCCTCGCAATACTTCGGCCAACCTTCGATGTCAATTAGTGGGATCTCCTTTGAAACTAGCCATTCTGATAACAAAAATTTAATCCATTGAGGAGATCGGAATTTCGAATTCGCAAGGGCAATATCAAGAAATTGTTCCATTTCGTCCCAAGGAATAAGAATCTTGTCTATGTTGGTGGTTTTTTGTAATTTTTCAGAAGAAATGCTTTCACGATTCGTTTGCAACATCCGAGCACAATTGTTATGCCATTCTGCAAGGGAGCGGAATATGGTCTCAGTTCGAGAAATTTCACCTCCTGCATTGCTCTGCATCCATGGAAGAATTTCAGAAATTCTTCCATTTCCCCTCTTGTGAATTCTCGTCGTGTGAGCGGGAGAGCTTTTTCATCAAGGATAGCTCGAGATTCCTTTCCTTCGTCAGCATCTTGAATCTTAACCAGTCCTCGAAAGATCACGGGAAACTTCTGGTACTTGTGTAAGGTTGAAGAATCGTTTTTCCGATCTGCAAAATATTTTAACAAACTTGTGACCAATTCTGAAGAATCTGGCTGAAATTCCATTTCTGTTATCAATTGGAAGGTTTTCAATTTTTCAGTATCATCGTGGGAACGAAGAGACAATATCTGTGGAGCAAAAGTCTCAGTCGCGATGACGTTGTCTAACTTTGCAATGGAGCTTTCTCTGTACTTTTGAAATGAGTCTTTGATCTGGTTGTTTTCTAAATTCGTTTGAACTTCAGTCAAGAACGAATAAATTTTGTCTTGGACTGTCTCTCCACCAGCAGTATTCAAGATTTCATCAACAGTCTTCATGAATGAATCTTCGCATTCTTTGCGGCACTTTGCTGTATGTAAGTCTCGTTCTGCCATTGCAAGGGTCTCAAACTGCTGTAAATTCGCTTTCTGAAGAAAACCGAACAAGAATTGTTGTGCTTCAATGTCGGATTCGAATCCGAATACATCTCGGAAGCTCTTCCAGTGCTTTTTAAGTTGTTCGATTCGTTGAGAGGTATTCGGACTGTCAGAGAGCAAAGGGAACAAAACCAGGACACACAAAAGTCGATAATGATAATTCTTCAATCCTCGCTCTGCATGACTCCACCCTGGAGTGTACCATTCTAAGGGAATTCCTTTCAATGGTTGTGCAATTTGATCAAAAAGAAATTCCTGTTCTTGAACATTATCTGCATCATTTGGCAAGAACACGTTTTCAGCGTTCATTCTGTGGTGACCTAATCCTCCGATGCTCTGTCCACATTCAATACATGCTAGGAAGAACGAAGAAACGACGATCCTCTTCTTCTGCAAACAGTGTCAATCATTCACCTCCGTCCAACCACCGGAATTCAACTCTCCCGCGAACATTGATCAACACCCGACCAGGGAAATAGAAATTGCTTTTCCCCTGGAGCCAGGAGAAATTCAGATTTGGATTCAAAAAGTATCAAATCGCAAGGCAGCAGGCATGGATTTGATCTCAAACGAGATCCTGAAAGCTTTACCTGACAGCGCAAAGGAGGAGATAGGAAAAGTGATCAGTAGAGCGTTGACAGGAGACAAAACGTTGTTGAACATGCTAGCACGAGTCAGACTCCTTCCAAAAAACGAGCTCTGTCATGTTCTGGAAAATATGCGTCCTATATGTATCCTCTCGTCGGTGACGCGAATCTTCCAAGCGGTGATAGCACACAGACTGGCAAAAGCAGCTGAGAGGCACAAGTAGTTAACAGATAACCAAGAGGGTTTCCGACCCGAGGGCGGGACGATCCGTCAAGGTCATAGACTACTTAACATCATCGAGGAGGCCCAGAGTAGTCAAAACAACATTATACTGTTATACCTCGACTTTGCCAACTTCTTCAATAACGTCGCGGTTGAATCCATCGCAAAAATCATGGAGGTATATGGATTCCACCAGCGCGATGTCGACGTCGCAGTCAGTCCAGACTGAGAGGTTTGATACAGCAGCAATCCCGCTCCTCCGGGGATTACCTCAAGGCAGCCCCGCGAGTCCACCAAAGACAAACCTCCTTCTCAGCATTTTGTCAAGACAACTTGATTACAAACAGGACAAGAACGCACCCCAACACCCAAACAACTTGTCATTCGCAGATAATCTGGTTCTGATAGCACACTCGGTGAAAGAAATGAAGCAACTTGTCCAAGTGGTAGAACGATTCTGTAGATGGAGCGGATTAGAACTGAACACGAAGAAGTCAGAAATCACCAGCTTTGACTATCGGCTGAAGCGAGAGGTCCTGGGAACTGAAAACATCAGGAGAACAGGGGGAAGAGCGCAAATATGCCGCGAGTGCCCCCACACTTGGGGAGAGAAAGAACACATCTTTGAAAAAACGAAGGAACTCACCAATCTGATTGAGTCCTCCGCATACTCGGCAGCACAGAAGCATTACTTAGTGAAAGTAGGCATAGTCAACATCTTCAGATACTCGGCTGTACTGGTCAGCTGGTCTTGGAAGGATCTACAAACCTTAGATAACCTCTGAACCAGAGCATTCAAACGAGCTATGGGACTCAGCAGGAGAAGATTGTTAACACTGAGATTCACATCCGTGAGCGACTGGAGCTCGGAGATCCATCGCTCCAACAAGATGAGCCTGTTGTTGTCTACATGCAGAGTTTGCAAACTAGTCAGAGATGTCATGGTCTCCGGCAACTTGAGCAGCAGGTTGTGAGACAAGAAGAGGTGTCGCAGCTCTCTGCTCTTCAAGACGAGGGCAGGGAGATCTGTCAAGGACCGTCTCTCCATGTGCATCTCAACTTGCGACCGAATGAAGGAGACGAGACCTTGATGATCATCTTCGAACGCTCTCAGCTCAGCGTTGTCCTTGAACAACGGGTTTCCCTGCAGCAGCACCTTGTCCAGCTGCATGCCCCCCAGGCTGAGGAAATCTTTCGCCTCACAGATGAGGTTGTAAGAGAGGTCTAGTTCTTTGAGGCGATGCAGGTGCAAGACTTCCTGCGGGAGAGAGAGAAGCTTGTTCCCTTTGAGATTCAACACCTCCAGGCCCTCAAACATGCATGTCCCTGCGAGACCCGGCACAGATAGCTCCGCGATCTCGTTCATCTTCGCTTCCAACGACGTGAGAGAAGAAAGCTGGTGCAGTCCGTTATCAGGCAACCCAAGATGTCGCAGACAGTTATAGCTGATGTCAAAAGAGCGCAAGCTTGTCAGCCGACTGAGATTTGCTGGGAGCACATCAATCAGGTTATTGTTGACAACCATGGTCTGCAGAGAGACGAGCGAGCTGAAAGTCGCGGGAAGGCAGTTAAGCTCATTGTTTGACGCTGAGAGCCTGAGCAAGGAGGTCCAGTCCTGCATGCAGGGCAGTGCCTTCAGCTGATTGTTGTCGAGCGATAGAGACCGTAGCGACGTCAGCAAAGCCAAGTCCTCGGGCAGAGCCTTGAGCCGGTTGCTGCTCAAGTCCAGCACCGTCAAGGCTGTCAGGCCACAACAGCTCCCAGCGTCGAGGCTCTGAAGATCTGCGAGCAGACAGGAGGGTGAGACGAGCGCGAGGAAGGGGAGGAGGAGGAGGAGAACCATTGGCAGAGAGCCGGAGCTCTTGCAGGCAAGTGAAGTCCGTCAAAGCTCTCGGAACCTTCTCGATTCTATTTCCTTCGAGGGAGAGGAAGCGTAGGGGCACCTCTCTTCCTATCCGGCTGAAAGCATCGCAATCCTGACTGACGTCAAGCCCTTTGAAAGAAGAAGAATCGTATGACCAGATCACGTATGCTGTTGTATCCTAGCCAGAGCTCTGTGAGGGAGGTCAGAGAAGGGAGCTGGTGCGGTAGTTCAGCAAGATCGTTGCTTTCGAGGAAGAGCCGCTTGATGCTCGTGACTTTGAGCACAGCGGGAGGAAGAGCACTGACTGGACGTAAGGAGAAGCAGTGCGACTCATCGCATGTGGCTGACCTCAGGCGACTTCTGTTCCAGTTCTCAATGCACGGCCCCTGATAACACATTCTCCGCAAGACGTCCGGTCCACAATAGCGACCTTCCTCCATCTGAAGGCTACGGTGAGAGAGAGTTGGGAACGACAAGAAAAGAGAGGGGCTCAACCATTCTCCTCTTCTCTTCGCTTTCCCTCTCCTCTCTGTGACGATCAATCGAGACTTGTATCCATCGTCTACATTCTCGCAAGCTCTGAAGGCATCCACCATCATGACAGTGACGGTGTGCGGAGGAGTTATCCTGAGGGTTATGGGGGCACATGACATAGAGAAAGCCCTGCACACGACAGCTCTCACTCTCACAACAATTTGAAACAGTAAACCTCGAGTGAAGAGATTTGCATTCTTGACTTGCATAGATCGTTTTCGTCCTCTTTGAACATCACCTTCTCACATTATCTGTGAATCCTCCAAGATACTCATGGAAAATCTTTTGTGCACAGGTCTCACCATTGCACTTCTTGCTTCTGCCCCATTCGCTTCCCACAACTTAACTACCTCTGCAGTATCTGCATGCCTGATAACCGGCACGATTACTTCTGAGCAAGAGCAGAAGGTGATCTTTCTCACTCTGACGAACAAACAAGTATCTTGTTATCCTCCCAACTCATCTGTCAAGAATCTTGTAAGGATTCATGCAAGCGATAGCTTCCCCTCGTCACCTCCAGCAACACTCGAATGTATGTGCTGGATCCGGGTCGTTTCAACCAGGTCCAGCATCTGTATGTTTGTTTCCCTACCATCTTACAGCAGAATGTCAGACCATCACTCCACTAGTCTCTCTCCTTCGCGGCTCATCGCACCGAGTGGCTTCGAACCCCGGACATGGCGAGCCTTCGACTGCGCTCCTCCTTCGCTTCCTCCATGCCCGACCCCGTCCCTGGCAACCGTGAACTAAAAGCAAGTCTCTCAACCGTGCTACGAAAACAAGCCCGCCTCAGAGAGTGTTTGCAAGCGATCGAGCCTATCGAGCTGCTATCGAGCTGCTATCGAGCTGCTATCGAGCCTCTTTCGAGCCTCTATCGAGCCTCTATCGAGCCTCTATCGAGCCTATCGAGCTGCTATCGAGCTGCTATCGAGCTGCTATCGAGCTGCTATCGAGCTGCTATCGAGCCTATCGAGCCTATCGAGCTGCTATCGAGCTGCTATCGAGCCTATCGAGCCTATCGAGCTGCTATCGAGCTGCTATCGAGCTGCTATCGAGCTGCTATCGAGCTGCTATCGAGCTGCTATCGAGCTGCTATCCGAGCTGCTATCGAGCCTCTATCGAGCTGCTATCGAGCCTATCGAGCTGCTATCGAGCTGCTATCCGAGCTGCTATCGAGCCTCTATCGAGCTTCTATCGAGCCTATCGAGCTGCTATCGAGCTTCTATCGAGCCTCTATCGAGCTGCTATCGAGCTGCTATCGAGCCTCTATCGAGCTGCTATCGAGCTGCTATCGAGCCTATCGAGCCTATCGAGCTGCTCGAGCATATCGAGCCTATCGAGCCTATCTGAGCCCCGGGCCTGTTTGCCTTTCCTACGGTACTAATTTTTAACTTAACTTTGAGTCAGTGAGTAAAAGGTTTGATTATTATTTACCAGGAATCACCCCAGTTCCGAAATGTAACAAATAACAATCATGGACAATGATAACGTTCCTCAGTTCCAGTAGGGACCCCC